CTGGACAATGGCAGAAAGGATTCTGTGACAGAGAACCTCAGTTAACAGTTGAGAATACATGTCGGCAAACACCCAATGAACGTTACAAATGGGGCAAAAGATTCACAGACAATATATATTTACTTATTGGAAGATATCAGAAGCTGTTTGGAAGGCTAGAATTACGGGAGTTACACTCCCCTAATACATTTGTAGGAACCCACATTTTGCTGGAGAGAATTGTTGAGAACACCTTGGACTGCAAGAATGTTTCAATACTAGAAGGATTGTGTTAAAGTTTGGGCAGGGGCAACAGACACAAGTTGGCTGGATGCTGTCACTGGTGACACCTGAATGAGCTTGCAAGGACTCAAAGAAACAGTTCTGCCAATCCTGGAGAAATCTCCACTGGATCATGATGAATCTGAACTAACTAAACTAAATGATTGTGGAAGGGAGTAGGCCTTTATTACTGTATAAGCCCCCTAAGTTAATATTAAAAATATGACAAAAATTGGGTTCATACTACTGAAATTACTGCAATACTAAATAACATGATCAAATTCACAAATCACCTAAGTCATGATGTGGTTTATTTCATTTGGGCTTAGGTAAAATGTATTTCAAAAAGTAGCAATATCTGCCTAACCTTACGTGAATAAGAAAGATCAGACCTGGATCATATCTGTATTGGAAATCTTCACAGAACACTAAGATTCAAGAGTGGAATTCTATCTTGACTACTTAAGGTGCTGAAAATTGAATGGTTGACAATTCCCATTTTTTTCTTCATGCAAACTTTCTTATCACAAATTGCTACATAAGCAAGTTGATTGTGTGATGCCCACAAGTGCTGTGATCTCATGATATCGCTCATGGGAATATAAAATGTTTGTGCTCTATCTGAAATCCTGAACAATGCTGCCAAAATTTGAGATTTCAGCCACAGTTTGCATCACAACCAACCTGCGTGACTGTCCCCACAATCAACCTGTGTGATTCTCATGGACCATAGCTGGGAATATTGTTGAAATACAATGGACCTCTGTTGGAAAGACTCATACTTTGAAATTACAGAAGCTTATTCATATCTGCAGAGATATTTGCATATCTTACTCTTATGACTGTAGAGAATTAACTTGGTTGCAACCTTTTATACACTCTAGAATAGGCTTCCCCAAACTGGTGACTTATCTATAATTCCCAAATTTTCCTGAAGGTATTAGGTGAAAGGTTGTATGGATGGTTGAAGTAAGCATTTCTGCAATAGCCATGATTGCATAATGTTCACAATCCCAAGTAGTATAATCCACAGGGCCATCTTCCAAATATGCTAGACCACAGCTCCCACCATACCTAGCCAGCAGAGTGGCATGAGAAAGAGCTCCCTTTTTCATTAAGTGCTGGGCATTAGGGATGAAGCGTCAGCTCAGTTCCATCCCAAACCCGGAACCAGGGGTAGATTATTTCTCCAGAGAAGGATGCGTTTGAGAAAAAGAATATGGTAGTCTTTGTTTCTACATTGAAAAATTCCACTTCTTGATAGAGGTAATCCACAAACACACGAATCCTCCGGGGCTTCTTTTCAAAAAAAATCTTGGTGTGTTGTGGCTCAGTAAAAGCTACGTAATTGGCTTTCCCCCAATATTCTGCAACAGCCCAGATGCCTTCTTTGGTGCTAAAATCCGTCATTCCTTTTCTCTTCACTGACTGCCTGGCAACTCCCACCGCCCATTCTCCATCGTGTTTTATTTCCACCTCCCAACAGTGTTTTCCTGATTTAAACCCAGGCTGACCCAGAACCCAAACCCGCGTGTTAAATCTTTTATCACTTTCAGGAAGTGGTTGTTCTTCCCTTCCCCATGTTGTAGTTTTTCGATCCCTAGAAATGACGATCCGGCGATGAGCAGTCTCTGGATCAAAGTTCACGGAAGCTACAGGAAAAAAGCAAAATGATGAAAGATGCATCATCTCTAGCTGATGCAAATTATATAAATTGCCACAAATGATGCAAATTCATGCAGATAAATGTAATTTCAATTATAATGGACATTGGACATTCATGCACACCCTTCCCCTACATGTTGCATTATTGAAATTGAAATAATGCAAGATTTTATTGGATTCTAAGAGAAAAAGCTACACATAGTGTTAATAAAAATAAATCTAAGTTTAAAAAGTATATGATGTATATTTTGATTCCATAAGTGGGTTTATTAAAAAGCAAAACAGTCTCAATGTGTATTTGTCAAAAAATGATGTTAGAAATGTTAAGCAAACAAAACAAATTGTTAAAATTCTAAGACGTTAAAGGCTATTTACCAATTACAATCAGCACAAGTGGTAGTAAATGGAGGATTGACAGACTTATTTAAAATTGAGAAAGGTATGAGGCAAGGATGTCCACTATCACCTCTATTATTTGTTTTGACTTTGGAGATTTTATTAATTAAGGTTCGAGAATCATCGGTTATAAAAGGAATAACTTTGGACAAGAATGATTATAAGCTTAGAGCTTTTGCTGATGATCTGGTTTTCACTCTATCTCAACCGATTGATTCAGTAAGAAATTTGACACACATTTTGACTCAGTATGGGAAAGTTTCTGGATTTAAAGTAAATAATAATAAGACTAAAATATTAGCTAAAAATATGTCAATGAAAGATAAAGAGACTTTAAGTAACTTAACTGGTTTTGAAATAGTGAAAAAGGTGAAATATTTGGGTGGTTATATTACAGCCTCTAATGTCAAACTGTATAAAAATAATTATGATAAGTTATGGATAAAAATTCAAAAGGATTTAGAGGAGTGGAAAAATCTACAATTATCTTTGTTAGGGAGAATTTCAGTGGTTAAAATGAATATTCTTCCTAAATTCCTCTTTTTGTTTCAAATGATACCTATTTTAAAAAATGACTTAAATTTGGATGAATGGCAAAGAGGTATTATTAGATTTATCTGGCAGGGGAAAAAGCCGAGGGTTAAATTTAAAATTATGCAAGATGCACGGGAAAGAGGGGGACTTAAAGCCCCAAATTTAAAATTATATTATGATGCGGTGGTATTAACTTGGATTGCTGATTGGATTAATTTAACTAATAGAGACATACTGATTCTTGAAGGTTGGGATTTATTTTATGGATGGCATGCTTATTTATTTTTTGATAAGAAGATTGATCAAGTTTTTAAGTCTCATATTATAAGAAGTGCACTTTTGAGAGTTTGGAAAAAGTATTATTATAAATTAAATGTTAAAATTCCAATTTGGGCTATTCCGGAACATGCAATACAAGGAATTACAAGGGGAGTTAAACTGGAAGGGATTGTTTGTAAGGATTTGCTTATTGCAAGAGGACAGGACTGGCAATTTAAATTATTGGATGATTTGAAACAAGATAATATTCTCCAGTCCTGGTTTTTATATTGTCAGTTGGTGGAGAGGTGGCATATAGATCAAAAGCTTGGTTTAACTTTGGAAGATGTGAACTTGATAAAGCAGATTAAAGATCAAAGTAGAGCTCTTATTAGGAGAATTTATAGTGTTTTGATAGAATTTGATTCGGAAACAGAATTAGTTAAAGATTGTATGATTAAATGGGCACAAAATATTCAAGAACCAATTATGTTAGATACATGGGAGGTAATTTGGGTAAGAAATGTCAAGTTCACCCAAGCACAGAATTTAAGGGAAATTTTTTATAAAATGTTTTATAGATGGCATCTAGATCCCCAAAAATTGTCTTGCATGTATCCAAATTTGCAGCCAAAATGTTGGAGATGTGGTAATTTAGA